TACCACTGAGTTCATGAAAATTAGAGTTCTATCATAGTTGTGTGAAATGTGTATTTAATTCCAACTTTAAATTAATAAAATAATCTAAAACTAATTTTAATCATATAACAACAGTGATAATCTAATGGTAATTAAATTAATCTATATTCAAACACCAGTATCCTTTCCAACTATCAGAAAAACAATTCAACTACTTGAGGCCTAAACAGATTAACAGAATCATATTATATACTGTAGTATCGAAAATATTTTAAGTATTGCGACTATTGCAACTGTCGGCTACTCTTTCACCACTTGAAAACACTCATAATCATCAAGCGCAGATAGCTCAGGTGGTAAGGTAAGAGACTCATAATACGGAGGTACCAGGTTCGAGACATGTCTGGGTCAAGAACTTTTTTCTCGTTTTTTTCTTCCAAATTTGTGTTTATTAACTATTTAATAAATTTACTCAACTTATAATTAACCTTTTCATACTAAATCTATATTATTTTGTGTTTTTTATGTTCAGGCCCAGACCACACTTTATTCCAGGGACATCCCATAGTAGTCCCATATGCCCTGAGAATGTCCTGAGGACTACCCTGGGATGACCTCGGATGTCCCACGGATATGCTGTGAGCTTATCCGTAGGACATCCCCGGGCGGGGACATTACGCATTCCTGCGGATATCCTGGGATATCCAAGGTTGACCATAGGACTACTATGGGATATCTTGCATATCCTGTCGCAATATCCGTGGGATGTCCTGAGGAGAAAGTGTGCTGTCTGGATTGTGGTGTACATTCGGCATCCTGTAGCTCATAAACGAGTAAGTTTAGAGAGAAAGTGCAAAGAATAAATAAGTCACATATAAGTCCTCGTTAAAAAAAAATATATATAAAATACGTTAAAAATACTGATTTTGTTGTTTTAAAAATGGTCACCATTTTCAAAAATGGTAGCCTACTTTGATATTGGAACAATTTATTTTATGGTTTTTTTTATGGAGACGTGATTTGAAAACTTGTTTATTCTTTGTATTTTCGCTCTAAAACTTATCGTTTATGAGCTACAGGATGCAGGATGTACAGTACTCAGAAACCATTTCTTCTTCGATGTAACACGATGTAACTCCTAAACAAGTAGCTTTAGAGAAAAATGTCAAGACTAAAAAGGTCTAAAAATTGTGCGTTTACATTCTAAAACAATCATAAAATACAAGGTATTCCATAGGACTAACAAAGTTTTCAGCCATATTGGAAAATGGCGATCATATTTTTAAAATTCGAAACCACTAAAAAAACATCTTAAAATAAAGGGTTCTGTCCCATAAGAAGTTAACTCTAGATATCTCATGATAAAAAAGTTATCTATTGGTTCACTTTAGGTGAGACACCCTGTATAATAAAATGAGGCTCTGGCGTACAGCATGATATTCATTCATATGTATCCACTACAGTCTGTATATGTACTGAATGAGCTACATAACGTTAATAGTTTTGCAAAGTCTTTTTCGTATTTTGATATCTTTATTAGTTTGGACAAGATCATCCATCAAAGTTGAATTTTCTCCAATAAGATTAACATGGGGGAATCTAAATATTTAATTGAAAACTTTGTCTCCACTAATTTGAGAGAACGGCTGGGCGTAGAAACTTGGTAGAGGTGTCCAAAGAAAGGTCTTGGTCTGTAGATGAGTTATCAAAAGAAAAACGAAGTAAATTCGATTAGGTCTCTGTCCCAGAAGCCTTTAAAGATCCCTCCACAGATTTGTTTACATTTTGGTCATGTGGATAATACTTTTTAATAAAACAGCTGTTGATTTTAAAATTGTATTTTAAACAACACACATTTATTGGGAGTTACTGAATAGTCCAAAAGAAGTATTTGCAATGTTATTTTCTGATTTTAAACTGGATTTTCTTCTGTATCATGCCATGTGTTGAAATATAACGTCCCATTACGAAATCAGTGGAAAATCCTTTTTTCACAATAGACTATTATTTCTCATTGAACTATCTTATATCTAATTCACGGGTTGGTGTCTGACTTTTTCACACCTTTTCCCTAATCTCATGAACCCATGATGATATGTTTAGAATATTATGACAAACTATAATAGTTTGTCATAATATTCTAAACATATCATCATGGGTTCATGAGATTATTGTCATACATGCTTTCAATCGTTGGAAAAATCTTCGATGGCGTAATACAATACAAAATAATACAAGCGCAGAAGAGCACGGTGGCCATTTGAGCCGTGTCCATATTTTGTTAAATTAATAGTGGTTTACAGCAACTGGATAAAACATTTTACAATATTTATGTAGAAATATGTGCATGATTTAGAAAGTCATTAAGCTGGAAAACTGCAATATACTGCAAACTTTTCAGAGAGGTTACTTCGATGTATTCATTCAGCTTAGGGAAAACATAATAATGTATCTTCGATGGTGTAATACAATACAAAATAATACAAGCGCAGAAGAGCACGGTGCCCATTTGAGCCGTGTCCATATTTTGTTAAATTAATAGTGGTTTACAGCAACTGGATAAAACATTTTACAATATTTATGTAGAAATATGTGCATGATTTAGAAATTCATTACAGTAAGCTGGAAAACTGCAATATACTGCAGACTTTTCAGAGAGGTTACTTCGATGTATTCATTCAGCTTAGGGAAAACATAATAATGTATAGATGTAAGTAGATAGTGTGTATAGATGTATAGTGTATAGATGTATAAATGTATATAAATAAGAACTTGAACTCTTAGAGAGCCTTTGAATGTTATTAGACTAACGAGAAGGGTTGTGCATGTTTACTAGCGCTACTCGGCAACAAAAACTATTTAATTTATCTCTAAACTATATATTCTTAAAGTGCACTGAGCAGCCTACAAATCTATGTAACTTACCCATATAATATAGTTACAAACTGCTCAAACTCGCATTGTGACATTTATAACTCGGCATATATATCTCCAACAGAAAATTCATCCGCAGTAAAATTTTATCGTGCTCTTACCGTTTCTAATAACATCCAAACACAGAAACCTTGCCTAAAATGGTACCTATGTTGACAAATTATTTACTGTGGCCTATATCACGGACCGTGGCCCACTGGTTTGGTAACATTATTGAAAATAACACGACATTTTGGCTGTAAAAATGGCACAATGAAATACTATTTAATCAGCTACTGTCATGACGGAAAGTCGTATTTATTTCAAACTAGATCACATCATACTTTATAAGATACGTTGATTCACAATGTATGCATCAATATTTACGTAACAGACAATTTACATTATTTTTTGCTTTTTGGAAATGCTTCATTACTATGTAATTCGCATTATTTTTTGCCAATGAAGCTGCACGTCATATAAATTAGGCCAATAACAGTTCAAGAATAAAAGCCAACATTACTTCAAGTTTATACCACTACACCTAACATTCCGTAGAAAGATTATATTGACAACTTTATGTAATTGATAAGGCTGAGACAACTAACTGACATCCCCCATTTCTAGGAATTCCAGCTCTAACAGTAACCCCAAAACCAATTTCTCAAAACTTCAAAATTTTAAAAACGCAATTAATATTATTATTGTTTTTACGCTTATTAATCTTTAAACAATGCTAAATGCTCAAAATATGTATAATTTCACTCAATTTACTCTCAATTTCACTCAGTTAGATGAATTAGTGTAAGCCTTGAAAGTAACCGTCGATTTCGACGGGTTTCACCTAGTAATCTATATAAAGCGGCAAACTCAAATACAAAAACCATAATATACGTATTTTTTTTCATTTTGTTGCGGTGCACAAAAAAGCCAGAGTCCTGTAAAATCCATACTGTACTATTTATAACCACTATATGCAAACAAACTGTTAATAACTATGTATCATTTTAAAGCGTAAACTATGCACACCAAATTTTATATCGAACATTTTGTTGTGTGACCTCATATAAAAAATCTACAAGGAAGAGTTTCATAAATTAATCCGTAAAAAATAATTTTTTATGTTTATGATATTTTTTAACTATGAATATTTAGGATACCATGGTAAATACACTTTTTGTAGAATATCGTAACGCGAAATGATTATTAAAAGATTGCAATACTATCCTTACCCGTTTTAAAGTTATAGCTTAATTTCTAAGATACTGTAAATTTATCTAAAAAGGGGGGGTAGAGGAAAGCACAAAGGGGTAGGAGTGGGGACTTTTGGGAAAATGCTCATCACAACATGGTCTAACAGCATAGAAAAATTCAGCTTTCCCATAGTTAATTACAACATCAAACCTATATTGACTGTGGGCTACGTACCATCACCATCCATGCGCCTCGATACTACTACGAATTTTCTACGTTTACTCTTACGTCATTAAACGTAGCTCTGTTGTTTTTGCACAGATTACCTTAAACTTGGTGTTTTGGTACTATTTGTTAGTATTTCTAACCATAAATCTTCTGTAACATGTCTTAAACGCGTACAATATTTCCGATATTTGATTTTAAAGTAGTTTTAAATTTTAATTTTTGCAATAAAAGTTGATTGAGGCCTAAAGCATAAGAGATAGAAGAAAGGTTGTAATAACCTTTTTGAAGTACAATATATTTAGGCGTTGATAGAAGCTTAAACCACCTTTCTATCATTAAACCGTTTGAGAGTTAGACGCGGAAACGTAAACCAATGACCCGCGCGACTTCCCCCCTCCCCCCGAGTTGTGACCACCCTAGAAATGCGACATCATAGATTTTTTTCATCTACTAGATGTCCGCAACAATAATCAACAGTCAAATTTTGTCAGACTGTCAGTGCATACTCAACCCGTTTGGCGCCCGGCCTATTAACGCTCCTGGCTCTGCTGAGTCTTCTGCACTATATGGCGTCTGGCGTCGTTCGTAACGGCACTAGCAGCAGCTAGTCATAACGGCACCTGAAAAATCTCCCGTGTGCCGCACGGCACAACCTTAGAATAATTATAGCTCAGTGCCGTCAACGGTGTTTCGTTTCTGTTCTGTTTCTCTTTCTGTTTACGGTTACAATTTTATAGGTTAGGTCAGGTTAGATTTCCTTGTTACAAGCAAACAGCAAATTTACACGGAACGAACACCAAACAATTTCCATAATAATTTAGTAGCAGTGAAGGAGAAGACACAGCAAATCAAAAACTCCTAATATCACAAAATAAATCCAGGAGGTTAGTAGCCTAAGTTTAGTTGTGTTTGTATGAATTAGGCTTTACAACTAGGTAGGCCTAGCCCAAGGCGTATGAAAGATACGCTTTCATACGCCTTGGGCCTAGCCTATTTGGTTTTTTCTTCACTTACAAAAAGACCAGCTTTTTTGCATTCTTTAGAAGCGTTTCTGCCAGGGGTTTAAAACCATCATAATCTTCAGATATTACAGCTAGGCTTACCTATATCATCAGCAAACACTAAAATATAGATTTTTTGTCCAAGAAGTACTCCTGAATTCAGATTTTCAGTCTCTTTGAGAGCCTCTTCCAATACAAGATTGAAGAGGAGATGGACCACCCCATTGTTTTACTCATTGTGTTTATTTTAAAGTTATCACCAAATTCACCCTTAGGCCTAACTCTGACTTTCCTTTGGTGTCCTTTATACAGGTTTTTGCCACGTTTATTAATTTTTCTGGAATCCCGTAGACTTTCAGTAGCTTCCACATTTTCCTTCCGTCAATAGTAGGCCTAAGTTATTCATATATGCCTTTAAGAAGTCTTTTGAAATATTTTAAAGTTCAAATTAAGTCCAACAAATAAGCCTAGTTAAAATGAAGTGTAGCAGGGTTATGTCTTATTACTATGCATTTTTTACTAGGCCTATATGCTACTATTTAAAATTGTTTTTTATGTCCCATTTTTACATCCTAGGACACTAGGTTCTAACCCGCAACTGTTTTACACATTACTTCCGTCTAGTCCTAGAGAGTTGGGGCATTATCACGTAGCCTACCGGTAGATATATTGACCTTTTTACTGGAAGAGTTAAATTTACAGTGACACCTTGGTGTTGTAGGACGTAGATAAAGACAATAGTGTCCAAAATTTAGCTTATATTCATTTTAAAAAGCCATTATGTCGGTTACAAAAACTTGAAAAGATTAACATACAAAAATTAAACATAGGTAGGATACATGTTTCTCAGTACCATTGCTCTTTATAGGCCTATATGCTCTTTTCTTCATTAACAAGACCATTTACTTGTTTAGTGTTTAGTTTAGAGGTTCTAAAAATTGTATTTAAATTTGTATTATGATCCAATTGGTCATTTGAGTGTAGCTTCATAACATCATGTCCAATAAGTAGGCCTACATCAGCGCATACTTAGTTCTTTCTTTTATTTATTTATTTAAATATTGAAAGCAAAGACCGTTCTTCTTAGACCTTCAATTTAAAATCATTGTATTTATATGCCGGAAAACTTAAACTGACTTTCACATACCCCTGAACGAATTACTTCAAATTGGACGCAGCTAGAGATACATGTCCCTTTTCTTTATAGGTAGCCTACATCCTCAATTTATACATCTTGACAAAATTTAAGTTAATAAAGCTTGATGTACTACCTGTATCACATAAAAGTCAACGAAAACAAGTCCAAACATATTGTTTTTACTCTGAGAACAGGGTAAAATCCTCCAGTAACCATTAATAATTTAGCCTTAACGGAGGCAGACAGTGTAAAATATTTAGGTCTAACTTTTGACAAAAAATTAAATTGGAAATCTCATATCTGGTGCAAGAGACAGCAAATGGAATTAAAACTTCGTAAAACTACCTGTGTATCGATTAAACAACATGCTTTGAAGTCATTTGCATTAGCTTCAACTAAAGAATTATTTAGGCCTAGTAGTGATGTATTGGCTGCAGTTGCAAGTAAGGCAGCGGATGTTCCAGAATCCTTTTTATTTGTTGTAAAATTCTGGGCTATACTTGCTTTAGACACTTGTGTAGTGACCCACCTTTCTACATTTCCCATTCTTTGCTTCTAATGCAGGACAACCATCTCTGGAATGTCGGTCAAATCCATAAAAATATCACTTCCCAGAAACATTATTGACAGCTGAAACCGTTTCCACAATCTGTCTTGAATTATTCTACCAAGTGGGGTTGTTTGGGGAAAATCTAAGTTTAACAGTGAGTCGGTGGCTCAGTCGGTAGCGTCGTGGACTTCGGGCCCAAGGCAGCGATGTCGTGGGTTCGGATCCTGGTCACTGCCGATAACATTTTTCGATCATCAATGTTCACAAGACATTGAACAAATTTGGACAATAAAACAGACAGCTGATAATTAATAAACATTCATATCATTCCGTAGTAAGTTAGGACTATGACAAATAACTGCTGACAAAAAAGCAGGCATTTTCAACACTTCCCTTATTTGCATAGTCATGCCGAGAGTCCAAGATGTTTTCGCAGGACTTGAAGTCTTGGTCTTTCTTGATATAGGCGGACTGGCAGACGAAGATATCACCATCACTTTGAGAAATTTCGAGTCCGAGAAAGTATGATACTTCTTTTACTAGGATTTCAAATTGTGAACGAAGTTGCCTGATAAATAAGTCCATTTCGGTCTGACTAGTCGCTGCGACTAATCCGTCATCAACATAGAGAGCAACGATGATTTTTCCAGCAGGGGTAGGACAAATGTAGACCCAGGGATCTTCACGGCTCTGTCGCCTTTCATGAAGTTGTCAAACCGTTTATTCCAGCATCGAGGTGCCTGTTTCAGGCTGTATAAGCTGTGTTTGAGACAACAAACACGATTTGTCCCATCATCCTTCAGCCTGCTTCATAAAAATCTCTTCTTCAACGTCTCCGTACAAGAACGCAGTTGAGACGTCAAACTACCGCAGAACCATTTTCTCAACAGCTGCAATGGACAATATTGATTGAACGACCTCCAGACGAGCAACTGGGCTGAATGTTTCAGTGTAATCTATACCGGGTCTTTGCACACATCCTTTGATGACCAATCTCGCCCGATATTTGTCAACACTTCCATCAGGATTGCGCTTTATTCGGTAGGCCCACTTGTTGTTGATAGTCTTCTTTCCCGGAGGGAGCTCGGTCAATTCCCATGTACCGTGTTTATGCATGGATTCCCTCTTGAATTATTCTCCCAAGTGGAGGTGTTTAGGGAAAATCTAAGTATAACTACGATGAAAAACGAATTTAAACTATAAAACATCAAATGTATTTCTCATTAATGTTTACAAGACATGGAAGGACAACAAAACAGACAGCTGATAATAAATTTAAACATTCATATCATCTGTAGTATGACTTTGACAAATAACTGCTGACAAAAAGGCAGGCATTTTCAACAGTTTGTCCTTCACCCGACTATGAGTGAGAATCACACTGACATTTCTATTGTGTCTCAGTTACTGCGCAAGTTTGCATTCCGTATTCAACTTGTTTATAATGATCAACTTGACCTTGGGCCATGTCGGGTGCTCTTGACTGCTTAACTGTGTCAGTTAAGTCAATTTTTTTATTTTTTCAAATAATCGCTGTCATACATATATGATAAAAATAAGCCATTTATAAAGGCCTTTGGAGTGTTCCCTTGTACATAGCTGCGATCACTGCATCAAACACGCAATCATGGCTTAAAAGTTTAAATAACTTCTTGATCAGCATTGTACGTGTTATTAAATTTACGGAAGAAGATACGTCTTATAAGACTTAAAACATATATTTACGCTTATACTGTTACTCACAAGACGGTAAATACACAAAAAAGATGGTAAGTGGTGATCGATTTTAAATCACTAACATAGATTATAAAAGTTGTAAACTAGAATGTTTTATCACTGCCTTATCTGATCACGATTTGCAACTTTTCAAGTTTTTAATACCTAATGTTAAAAGTTATAAGAATTCAAAACTAACTAGGCCTATGGGAGGGCAGAAAATTTAGCCAGGAAAGTATGAAAATGTTTCTTGATTGATGATCACTTGCAAATATAAAATGGAACCTGCTGTATATTAGACCTGTAGAGGAAAAATTTACGTATTTCTATGATATTTTAAAATATTACATTAATTTGCACTTTCCAAAAACTAAAATAGTTAAATATAATAATTAGGTATAACCAATGGATTGACGATGAAGTTATTTATAAGCGAAGGGAAATAATTGACCAATACCATACTTATAGATGCAAAAAAATAATGTAGCATTGAAAAAGAATATAAAAGAGAATAAGAAAGAGTACAAACTTATAATTAAAACTAAGAAAAAATGTCTTTTTAACAATCATCTATATTAAAACAAGACAGGGTTTTTTTATTTCACGATTCTGAATCAACTATTTGACGGATTTTCATGATTTTTGTGTTGAAAGAAAGATAATTTTGAGACTAGGGAATGTCGAAGCCATAATTTTAGTTTAGGGTTTCAGTTTTTTACAAAACACTAAAAAATAAGGCCGGCTTCTAAAAAGGATAAAATATTTTACAATAAGTGTTCATTATTTCAACCCGTTATTAATAGAGTGAGTATTTCAATTAGTTACATACAGTACCGGTAAGCTTTGAGTCTTTTAAACTTATCAAAATAAAAAATTATGACCGTTATTACTGCAGTTTTAAATAGTACTTGACAATTGCTCGATTTCGAGCAACAGGCACACTAGTACTTAATAAATTGGTTGATTCATTGAAACCATTTAAGTGGTCAGGATATGATGAAATACCTATCAAAATTTTTAAAGAAGCAAAATCAGTACTGTTAAAGCCATTGGTACATGTAATCAACTCATCCCTAAAAACTGGTATCTATCCTACTCAATTAAAAATTTCTAAGATCATTCCTGCTTTAAAAAAGGGAAACATAAGGATACCTTGAATTATAGGCTGTTAGCTATAGGCCTACAACCATCATTCTCTAAACTTTTTGAAAAAAATATGCTTTATCAGCTGTTAGATTATTTTGAAAAAAATTATATGTTAGACCATAGACCAATAGAATAAATATTGAACTTCAGCTGTGCTGCGGTTAGCATAAGTTCTGGCCTCCACCGCTAGGTTTGCCGTGTAGTTACGGCGTACACCGCTGCAGCCTCTGCTGGCAGCGGTGGGTGAGGGAACCTTCATTTGACAGTCTATATTTATTCTATTTGTCTATGATTAGACCAAGATCAACATGGTTATAGAAAAGAAAAGTCCACCATAACCGCATTGATATCTTTTATTGAATATATTTTAGAGAATTTGGATAGAGATAACTGTATTATTGGTGCTTTTTTAGACATGTCTAAAGCTTTTGGATAGTGTTCACCATCCTACCTTAATAAATAAGCTTAAGAATTATGGTATTTATGGTAAATAATTGAACTGGATAAGGTCTTATCTGGAAGAAAGGCAACAGTATGTCAGTGTTAGATTTGTTGAGAAGCAAAATTTGTACAATATAAAATCTAAGTTAAGGCAGGTAAAATATTCGGTTCCTCAAGGATCGGTTCTTGGACTATTCCTATTCTTATCTTATCTGGGAGGTATGCAGGAACACCTAGAACTAATAAAATTCAGAATACCAAACTATGTTTATATGCAGACGAAATCAGTATGTCAATACATGACAAAAATACAAACAGTATAGAATCGAAAATAGAAAATTTCAATTGTAAACACTTTCCTCAATGATAAAAATCTTTTACTAAATAAAAAAAAAACTAGGCTACTTTGATTAAATTTTCTTGTAAAAATTCAAAAAACAATGAAACTTTTAATAACTTTGAGAATAACACAAAGTTTTTAGGTCTTATAGTTGATAAAACGTTAAACTGGTCCAAACATGTTGATCATGTTTGTAAGAAAATAAGCTCTGGAGTTTTTATAATTAATAGACTTCAACCTTTTTGCAATGTACAAACCCTTAAAACAGTTTACTATGCCCACATTCACTCCCATATATCTTATGGCATTGAAATTTATGGAAGTATGAGTAATCAAAATTTAAAAAGAATTTTATTATAACAAATGGAAGCTATAAGACACATCCTAAATTTATAAAAAACCTATAGCAAAAATTATTTAAGAAAATATTTCAAAGATTTGGACATTTTAACAGTTCCGTGTTTATATAGGCTATCTATAAAACAATGCTTTATGTAAAAAATAATGAATCAAAATTAGAGCGACAACAGGATATCCACAATTACAATAGGTACTAGATATAAACAAAATTTCAAAATTAAAAATCGTAAAAAAGTATATTGGCATTAAATTTATCCATCAACTCCCAGATGGCATAAGGAAGGAGCAAAGCACAATTAAATTTAAAAGGAAACTGACAAAATTTTTAATAGGAAATTCTTTTTACAGTCTGGATGATTTTTTAAACTTTAAGTACCGGTAATGTATTTATTTTATCTAAAATCTGCTGTTATATAAATCTTTTAACTTTAAGTAATATATTTATGTTATATTAAAAATAACAATGACGCATGTACGATGTATCTGTACGTTCTGATTAAATGAAATGAAATGAAATGATTTATTGTCGTTAAAACTATGTACAAAGTTCATGACAATCGTCAAAATAAAAACAAAACAATCAAGATGGCTCTGACAACTAAAATATCTAAAACTCTAAACCAAAGTACTCTTCATGTTTATACAGGCAAGCCTGGGTTAGAGTAGTTTTTAAAACATGTTTGAATTTTAAAACACACAGGTTTTTGATGGATGCAGGCAAGAAATTGTACATTTTAACACCTTGGTACTCAAAACTATTTTGAGTGGCTGTATACTTATGCCTTAGTGTAGACAGATTATCTTTTGATCTAGTACAGTAGTTGTGCACATCAGATATCTTTTCAAAGTGAGAAATGTTTTCTTTTACATACAACAAACTTGCCAAAACATACAAAGATGGAAATGTGAGAATGTTAAGACCCACAAAAAGGGGCTTACAATGTGTTCTTCTATTCACACTACAAATTAACCTCACCGCCTTCTTTTGTAAAGTAAAGAGCAACCTGTTAGCATAAAAACTCTTGGCCCACAGTGAGGTACCATAGGAAAAATAGTTATGAATGTGGCCATAATATATACAAATAAGGACATCAACTGAAACAGTGGACCTAAGTGCTCTTATCATAAATATGCCTTTTACAATTTTAGAAGCTACAAAATCTACATGTGAAAACCACTTCAAGTTTGACTGCAAGTGAAAACCCAAAAACTTCAGAGTGTTTACATCATTACCATTACTGCTAAGACTAATAGTTAGGTCTTGAGTCTTATCAGCATTCAGACATAACTTGTTTGCATTACACCAGTCATTAATAACAGCAGATTTTGTATCCAATGTATCTGTAACGTCATTCAAAGAGTTACCCCGTACACACAAGGCCAAGTCATCAGCAAAAAGAAAGCTTTTTACAGATAAGTCATTAATATTACAAGGCAAGTAATTTATATACAGTATAAACAGGGTAGGGCCCAATATAGAGCCTTGGGGCACTCGAACATGGCTAGAATAAGTGCCGTTTAGATAGACTTTTTGCCATCTGTCACTGAGATAAGATTGAAAGAACCTAACCAAAACCTAATCAATAAAGATTTTATTGATTGATTGATTGATATAGAACTAGTTGCTCTGCCCGTGCTTCGCTACGGGGTGAGAATGCAGAAAATAAAAATTCGGTTTTACTGCAAGATACTATAATACTATGAGAAACAGTTACAACACACTTACCAGGAAACATGTTGGCACAAGCTCAATCCTGCTTATTGATTATTTAAATTAAGATCTCTTAATGTATTACAGTACAGGTACTATCATTTTATATAGTGTATAGCATTTAAAATATATGCAAAAGTATAATTCATTGACCACATGGCACCAAAAAACAATTCTCCTTGTAAACAAATTAAATTAAATAGCAGAACAGCATTTCTGACAACAGCTGTAGTTTAATAACAATGTTTGTTTCCCATGTTAATCTTATGGAGAAATACAAAACTTTAAAGGGCCCCCAGGTCTCACTCTCTAATTATTTCCCTAAAAAGAAAGTTTCCTGCACAACTTCACGTTACGCTCTTTCCAATGACACCAAAAACATGTCAATTGGTTCAGTAGTTTCGGAGGAGTAATTGTCACAAAAAACCTGCTTGCGTATTAAATAAGTAATAATAGAATAGAATAGATTGAAAACCAAAACAATAATAAAATGAAAATCTATTTCTGTACATTTAAAATGAGTCAATATGTTCTTAGCCCAAGTATTCTAGCTTTCATATTCTTAACAAATACACAAATACCATTAGCTGCCTCCAAACAAAACAGCTGTAACAACACTACTTGCGACGTTGCCACTGGGAAGGCCCGGAGCGCAAAGGTGGCCATGTACAATGTAAGTTATTTAATTTACATTTTGATTAGCTCACAAGCCCCTTTCTGTTTATTGCTCTTACACTCACTGTGGTGATCATGTGTCACTAAACAAGATGCGATGCAACAAAACTATGGTTTTTTTCTGTAAGTAAACTATACCATGACACAGAATTCAATAATATACCAAACCAATCATAGAATTTAAAGTAGTCAGATTTTAACAATAATTATTGATAAACAATGAAAAAGTAACAGTTTTTAATAAACAGATTTTAACAATTAATAAACTATTAAAAAAGTAACAATAATAAACATTTGGAACAGTGAACAACAATGATAAAATATAATGAAACAATTATTTTCAACTCAGATCAAGGCCCCACTAGGAAAACAAGGCCATGCTGCAGGATTCATGATGTCACACTAGTGGATAGATTTCATTAATAAATTCATTGCCATCACCATTCCCATATATTTTAGGTAAATAAACAAGCTGGCTGTTTGTAAGATTTTAATGGTAAGATTTTTGTACAACTATCCACCACTGTGACGTAGTGTTGCGCTGCCCCTGCTGCAGCATGGCCTGTTTTTTCTAGTGGGGCCTTGCTCAGATCTAGATATAAATTCTTTAACTTCATCTTTAAAACTCTACAGTAACAGTAACATATATTCCTCAGCTGTACCGGTAAGCTATTTAATAAGAATGGAACCAAATTTTCCCTTGTTCTTTAAGAATATTTATTTGTTGTTCTAGGCACAATAAAGAACATTTGCCTTGAGCTGTATCTTATCTATGTACATTAAGGGTTTTGAACTCTTCTGAAAAATAATAATCTGTTGTAATACAAAATTTGAACAGTCCATATACTGGAATAACGTTGACTAATTGATAACCTAGCATGGGATTTTCAACCAGATCAGCAGAATCAAGCTTAGTCATTGTTTTGATTATCCTGCTCAAATGGCAATTTTTTTCAAAAGGCTATCGGGAGTAATAAGTGTTTACTGTAGGCCTACAATAAGGGTAGCTTGTATTGCACAACAGTGAACTTTAAACAAGTGTACACAACAAGAGGAAGTCTGAATCTTAAAACCACATGTTTGGTAGGAGTAGTGTAAGTTACTGTGATCCTATGCTTTCAGTTTATTTAAAGTAAAATATTCATAATCAAATTGTTTGAAAATTATGTACACCTAATTAGAACTCACTGGATTTAATAGGTTGGATCAAGATGTCTGACGATGAAGACATCATTTATGTCAAGAAGCAGAACACTATTCACTATGGCTCTATTGAAGAACAAGAGAGACATCGCCTACAGTCCATGCCTCTGGTACCACCAGGCGAGGAGTCCATGGAGGAAGCACCTATCTCGCCAGCTCCAGCAGGGCAAATCCATACATCGGACGGTAATATTGCCTGTTTTGTTAAAGTTCATTTAATTTCTTTCCGCAATCTAAGTTACATTTAAGGTGTAATTACTTTAAAGAGTACCGGTACTAAACATCTAGCAAAGATACAGTCTAAAGGCAAATATTCACACAAAATTACCATCTGAATTGTTTGATCTAAATATTTGAATTGTTATCAACATAACATTAATAAATAAGGCCTATTAGCTCCAAACACCCGGCTTTGCCCAGGTACAATACAATTTACAATAATGGTTAGGTATATACCTAGTCAGTTTTTCTGTTTTATAGATGTACACAAATCTTAGCACCATTAAGGGTGAAAACATAGTGGAGCAGCGAGGCTAGATTGTAGCTGAGAACGTAGCTGAGAGTTTTTTTATCCCCGATTATAGCGGAGCTGCACATGCACATAACGGTGCGGCGACAGTAGGGAGTCAAGAGGCTGAAATACAGTACTTTTGAATATACATTCTAATATTTATGTATCTTGAGGGTAAAACGTACTAATTTTGTAAATGAATGAATGAATGGTGAAAATAGTAAAACACAGCAAAGTGGCCATTTATTGTACAACTGCCTACCTACATATTCAACATAATAAAAACTGTAAGATATACTTATAAAAGCTTCTAATCATAGTATAAAAAAGTAAAAAAATCGTTTACAGGATAAATTGTACATTAAATACGTCACTTAATGGGAAATCTGTACTTTATCTTTATGACAAGAATAATTACACAATATAATTTCATGCATTTGTCATAAAAATATTCCTTGCCCCAAACAGAACTGTGTTCACGAACTGAAAAAATAAAACTACATTTTAAATAGTGGGTTTGACCACTGAGCCTCTACCCTCGACCAAACCCTCAAGTTAAAGAAATCGGGGTAGAATTTCGGAGAGGAGAGGCTAGCGTGTTGGCGCGGGTACCCGCTATGTTCCCTGCTCCGTGTTTTGGCCCACCTATGTACATGTATGTTCTAAAACCCGCTTAGCTAGCCTGGCCGCTTCAGTGCTAAATCTGGAAATATATAAAATATTCTTTCTCTGGTAGAAAACTATAGACCAACTACTATCACTACCACGTGTTTCCGTATTTGATTGAGCAGAATGAGCGAATCCAGCAAAGCTCTTACATGTAGACTTATGCATTTCTTCTTTCGCTTCAAACTTGTAAACTTAAAATTCCTATGTTATTCTTATCTTATACTCTTATATGAGCAATGTTTTCTTGTATGTATGCTTGTATGCTTGCTTGCACAAAGATCTCGTAAACGGCTTCCACGATTTCCTTCAAATGTAAATAATTCATTTCTGGCCTAAAAACGTGTTTAATGCAGTTAAAACTGCCAACAAAAATCTTATTACCGGTACATAAAAAATCGAAATTGAAAGTCAAACCTTTTTAACATTGGCCTTATGGGTTTATAAGTAACCATGTTGGTTGAACAAAATAACAAAGAAAAAGTAAGCAAAAGTCACGTAAGTTGTGACATGTGTTAAAAATAAGCTATCCATCCACAGTATACTAGCAAATTACAAAATACAGTACAAAAGGAAAAACATCAGTTGTTACTATTGAGCAAAGATTACACTGAAGATAACTCGATAGGTGAAAATAGTTTCAAGTTTCAACAAAAATTAGTTGTAAATAAAACGTGAGTTTCCTTTATATTGCTTTTACGATCGAAATAAACTACACCGAGCGATGCCTCGGTCCCCAGGTACTGGAGAGTAAGTAAACTGTTGTAGTTAACTTGTTTTTGAAAAGCGTATATTTTGATCATACTTTTTGCAAATTTATTTATTTTATACTATAAGCTAAAGCTAGTAATATTTTACTAAAAAACACACTTCATTACCCTCCCTGTAGCAGCAAACCTAGGCACTCATTAAACCTAATTTTATTTAAATAGATTTGATTTAAGTTAAAATCAAATCAGGTAAACAGAATTTTTTTAGTCTACACTCTGCAGGTAGGTATGCTGCTGCGGGGATGTTTAGTTTTTATTTCAAAAGCTGATTCTGTGAGCTTTAAGGTAGCTATTTATAAAACTTTAGGTTATTCAGTTAAGTAGATTATGAACTTTAAATATATTTTGTTACTTTTAGAATACATGGAATTGGAAGAAGAAATGTCTAAAGATAAGCAAGCTCTTTTGGAAGAGTTTGAACGCAGAAAGAAAGCACGCCAAGTGAATGTCTCTACAGATGATTCTGAAGTAAAGAAAAACCTACGGCAGCTGGGTGAACCTATATGCTTATTTGGTGAAGGGCCTGCAGAGCGACGTAGCCGCCTAAGAGATTTACTTTCCAGGTAGGTTATTATCAAATTATCTATCAACTAATACTTGTTGTTTTGCACCACATTGCAGAGAGGTTGAATGCTTAATACCAATACCTAAAAATTTAATTCTTACTTCTGAAAAGGCCTCTTTCTTTCAACTACCTTAAACTCTAACTAACTTGAGACTGGGACGGTGGTGTCGTCCTGTAATCCAGCTACTAGGAGGTCACGAATTTTGGATATTTATCGGCATGCACTGTGGATGCGATACTTCCTAGTGTGGATTAATGTCCGCACTAGTGAATACTACGACTATCCGCAGTGCTATCGTGATAATTAGACCAATTCGTTAATATTAAACTAAGGCATAAATGTGGTTTGGATTCCACTATAAATTGTAGGTCCCTTAGTTGCCATTAGCTGTATGAGCTATTAATTAACAGCTGTGGGTATGAAATATGTTGGCCTTAGTCACTAACAAGACTACAAGATCACGCCACTCATCCTTCACTCATATTTGGGTTAAAATACGCACATAGTGGTGTCGCCCATCTTAAATAATTGATAATAACTCTTTTATCGTTTTAAGCTAGTTGTGTATTTTTTTTTTTTTTTTTTTTTTTTTAACGCCAGTGGCATTTCACAAGAGATTACGAGAGATAAATGCATAGTGGATGTGCCGGGGATTGAACCCGTCCCTCCCGCACCGAAGTCCGAGACACTAACCACTAGGCTAGCAACACAACCACTACCAGCTTCTTCCGTATACCAGTAGGCTGCCTAAAATTATGTATTTCTTGTTCTCCCTACCATAAGCCATTGCTAATTGCTCATACAGTACAACCTCTTAAATCCGAATTAATTGGGTCCGGTGGTAGTTCAGACTATTGAATAGTTTGGGTTACAAAAAATATTGTTATTCTTACATAACAATAGCTAAAACGAGGCTAAAATGTATTGGAATTGTTACATGAAAAGTGAAAAATGCTTTATACAGTAAAATACAGTGTTTATTTAATACAGTTAGTAAACATAGTGAATAAACAGTACTGTACATTACAGTAGAAACAACTACAGTGCGTTTATCAGTCTACAATAAAGAACTACTGTACTGTGTATAGATTACAGCAATGAGGCGTTCGGATTAGTGGACGTTCGGGTTAGTGGACGTTCGGGTTATGGGGGTTCGGATTAAAGAGGTTCTACAGTACACAAGGGCGGTCCCAAAGGGGGGGGGGGGTCAGGGGGGTCGTGACCCCCCCCAAAATATTTTTTATATACATAAACTATTATACCAGGGGAACTTCAATAATTTTTACTATAAATCGTTCTGCCAAATTGAAATTCATTGTAGTCTTTACACTTGTGGCGAACGAAAGGACTTATTACAAACTCTAACCTAAAACTCATCGTTCGAGTCTGACTATTTTTTGTACGTTATGAAAAGTAGGGAAGATCGGCAGACGACGGACGCTTTCAGCCATAGCCATATACAGCAAGGGCAGTGTCCGATGCTGACATTCAACGTTCGGCCGCATTCTTCTTCTTATTTAATTTTTTCGGCATTTAATGTTATCATTCATTGAAAACTTGAATTGGGTATTGGATAAAGAAAAGAAGTTGTATCAATAGTCAAAGCTTGAAAGGTAGTTGAATATTAATTTATCTGAGTTCAGCGTTAGGAATTTTGTAATTACAGTAATGTAATTCAATGATTACCGTAGCAAATTTCTAAACTTTCAATATTAAATAGTACCTATTCATATTTAGAGCACCTGAATAAAACGTAACAGGGTGTTTTTATTTAACAATTCTGAATCAACGACTTGACGGTAAGAAGATGAGAGGTTTGTTAAATATACATAGTAAAATACTAGATGTTCTAATTAATTTTTTTAGCAGTCTTTAAAATATTTAGTTAGCTTTACTGCAATATAATTTGTTAACAGTTGGTTGAATAAAAAAATAATCTATAGAACTATGAGGTTAGTTTATTTACTCTGGGATTTTGTCATTGATTTTAGGAAAGAGTAAGATTCTATAACCATTGCTGTATACGAATCGAAGCTCACGAATCTTCAAAAGAAATATTATTAAAATTATTTTACTACTTTTTGAGGAAAGGTTAGGAAAATAACAATGATTACGGTACATGTTTTAATCAATCTTGGCAGCTTTTTCTTTACGATAAATTTTGAACTGCTTAAACTATGCTTGAATTAGTAGACACACTATATACAGTTTTAATGGACTACTCGATTTCCGTACGTAGGACGGGCCAACAGCTCGTCATATTTGAGAATACCACAACCCAATTGGCATGTTGCTACCCACAAAACAACAACAAAATGGTAGTGTCTCAGACTTGGATGCGGAAGGGACGGATTTAATTCCCAGCACAACCTCAAAAACGTTGCACAAAAACTTTATTCTCTTGTTGACCCCCTTGTAAAATGCCACTGGCACTGGTGTAGAAAAAATGAGAACACTGAGAACCAATTCTTCAGGCGGTAGCAGTGACGGGACGCCGACGGCAACGTAGTTAGGTAGTGTACTTTGTGTAGGTTAACTGTTGCTTAGTGGGCAGGTATAATGCAGTTGTGTTGGGTGCAAGTTCTTAAACACTTCTTCAATAAAATAAGTTCTCTGGTTTGAAATCTTAGTCTGATTTTGGACATTTTCTGTTTAGCATGCACATCGGCACCAGTTGAAAGGGTCTTTTCGTAAATCAATAATGCTTGAATGTGTTGTAATGTTGCGGTATTCCTTTGATATTAAAACCCCAAGTCTCAATAATGCAAAAACATGACATTAGCCTATACAATTTTATTTTTAGACATTTCTTTGACCTTTAAATAAACTGGGAAGCTTGAACACATTAAACTAGGTCCTCAAAATAGCTTAAAACCACTAATTTTAGCACGTTATTTCCTGATTTTTTCTGGGGGGGAACCCCCGGACCCCCCCCCAGGCCCCGCTGGTGACCCCCCCCCCCAAAATATATGTCTAGGACCGCCCTTGACAGTACATGTTTTGGTTGTTTAGAGTAGACTTTTATTAATCTATTGTTCTAGTCTACATTTCATAAATCTGTATATAACAACATTCCAGTCTGAAAAAAATTAACTGTACACATTAAACGTTTTGCATCTTTTAAGAACAACAAAGACAACAGCAAAAAAGCCAGAACAAATTTATTAAAGAAGTACTAGAAACTGTCTTAAAAAATAATAATCAACAGACTGAGATATACCTGGGGTAAACTACTCAAACGTGGCTCCTTTTGAAAACTATGATCCAAAGAAAGAAAAATTTACATTTGACCTAGAACGTTATGAAAACTATTACACCATAAAAGGTCTAACGGACTCGACTAAGATTGGACAGCTACTGTGCATCTCTATCGGCAGTGATCACTATAACAATCTTAATTCTTTTCTAGGCACCGAGAAACAATTGAAAAGTCTCAACTATGATGAGCTTATCACAGCATTCAAGCAGTTATTGATTCCTAAAAAGAACGTTGTAGTATCTCAGCACTATTTTCTTAATGTATTTCAAAAAGAACACCAAGAATTCAAGGCTTTCCTACAACGTGATATTGCTAAGTGTGAATTTTCTGTCAAGTGTTCATGTGACCAGGACAGTTTCAATTGCCAAAGTTTTCCTGAGAGCCCAGTTTATTCGAGGTTTGCGAGATGACTGGCTACGAGAACAAATTCTACAGTCACCTGAAACTACTTTTGAAGGTATCCTTACCAGAGCAATCGCTCTCGAAGCATCAAAAATTGAATCCAGGGAACTGTCTAAACGTTCACATTCAAGTAATGCAAATTTCAATATATGTGACGATGTGAATAAAGTTTCACATAAATAGTCCATGAGCCACTTAATATTGTGGTACCACCTGGGGTGGCAAATGCAGACTATGTTTTTCTTGTATAGTTTTATGTGTAGATCAAGAATATAATATGTGATAGCAATGCATAAATAGTAGCTTTATGTAAAAAGTATGTTTTTATAAAACAAAACTGAATTTTTCGCAAAAAATTGAATGTTGTCTCATATATTTGTAAAAATATACCAGTCACGTGGCATGTGCTATCACTTTTTATTGAGTTTTGTATGTAGATCATAAATTTACATGATAGCATTATCTATGTAGTAGCTTTTTTTAAAAAAAAACGTTAATTTGAAAAATTGAGTTTTTGGTTTGAACAACATGATTTTGGCATGTATATTTATAAATACAGAATATCCTGATTGTGGTGGCTGCCCTGATTTTAGAATGTGGACACAACTTTGGACTCTGCCCCAAAGCGCCCATACTAAAGCATTGGAATGATGTCTTGGCACCATCAGCGCTGTTTGGTTGTTTTGCCATAAGACTACATGTACAGTAGACCCCCTCTTAACCAACCCTAATGGGACCGGACCTAGGTCGGATAACTCAAAAGGTCGGTTAAAACGGGCAATCCCTAAAATCATAACATAATGAAGTGCTATTCATTCAGAATTATATAATCATTATTTTGAAGTCATACTTGCATTATTTATAAAATAAACTACTCTTATCTCCTTTTTCATATTGATAGAAAAGTTACAAATAAACACAAAACATGGTTAAGTCAAATAGGCCTACTTTCAGTGGAATATATTATAATACTAGACAAAAGTCAATAATTCCTATTTTAATAACTTTAGTACTGTAATGTATTAATTGATGCTTTCCAAATCCATCGTAATACAGTACAAAATCTTTTGTCGAAATTAAAGATAGAAGCAACAATTTTGTTACAAGACAGGATGTTTATTTATAGCCTCTCACTGGAGGCTCGATGCACAAAAACTATCTTGACCTTGGAGTTGTTAACCCCCCTTCCCTGCCCTCCCTACAAGTTGTTGTTTGTTTACTCCAGCGATAAGATAATCAGTTCTCAAAATCGTAATGCACTTTAGGTTGTTATAAATTTGCCACACAGATAACAAATCAGATCAGATATGCTTGCGATGATGACAATCTAACAATAGGCTATGCTATATTGTTTCATTGTTAGGAGATAAATACAAAATAACTTGTTCTTAGTCATATCCTGTGGAGATAAGCGTATGGTTCAGTTCTCGTTCTCATCGCCCAGCGTGGGAGCGGAAATGCTGAGATTCCTAGAAAGCGGCGGTTAAGCCAAACTGCTAAGGTCGGTTAAAACAAACTGTATTAGCCTATTTTACAATCCAAGGCAGATAATCCGATTATCGGTTAATACGAGGTTGGTTAAGAGGGGGTCTACTGTATTGGTATTGGGATGGTCTGGCCGTCGTCCTTACTAAGCAAGCGACGATCAAATAAGTCTTTACTGAAGTAAGGTAGGGAATGGATAGGGAGAAGGGACAGGTTAGGTGCTTCTTCAACGATACTAAAAGGATTGACAAGTGAAGACCGCTTATCGTATTACAACATTATGAGGGTAACATTTCCAAAGTTCGATGAGTTATTAGAGTATATCGCGTGACTCTCAAGGTCAAGGCTAGCGATTACTCGCCACAGAAGTTGAACATGTCGATTGAATATATACTCGCATGCGAGTTCTAGGTGTAGCCGCCGCTACTTTCTGTTCTCACATAGTATTTGGGAGCCGCTAATCTAATAGCAGCGAGTAAAATCGCTATGTGTGAACTAGCCTTTAGAGATCTAGTCAGGTCCTGAATCAATTTGAAATGTAATCTGTTTCAATTTCAATTAAACAAATTAACATAATTGCTCATCACTAATTATTTATGTTTTATATAATTGCATTTGCCTATATCAATGTAATTAACAGGTTAGGAGAAGATGCCATTCAAAGAAAACAGGAAGAAGAGGAAGAGAGAATACAACAAGAGAAAGATCAAGAAACTACTTGGTACCATGAAGGTCCTGAAATTCTTAAAGATGCAAGATTGTGGATTGCAGGTAATTAATACCATGTAGTTGTCAGATGTTATGCAAGGTACCCAATGTTGAATCCCTGTAGCACACCTAGATACAGAATTGACCACTCTAAGTGACTGGTTTAGGATAAATGGGCTCTCCTTTAACATGGGCATAACTCAAGCACTTTCTATCAGATCATAGATACAGTTTAAAACAGATCACTTTTCCAAATTCTCAGTTGATGTCTTGTCTTAGCAGACTGCCAATTTTTGGGGAATTCATAAAAATAAACCGTGACTGGCTTCCTCACATTAACTTACAAAATACCCCCGCTGCAGCAAACCTGCAGACTAAGCGAATTTCCCTATACACAGCTGGAATTCCACTAAATCATTCCCTTAAAATTGTCAGATTTATTTACTATTTAAACATCATTAATATTAATGAATACTTAGGTTTGCTGCCACAGGGAAGAAAATAGGGGGTTTTTATTAAAATATTAATAGCTCAGTATGAAGTAAACAAAATTTCAAAATGTCATTAATATATGTCCATACACAAGCAAGCTACAACACTGTATTTATTCTCCATAAGAATAACATGGTAATTTTAAAGTTACATTATTTTGCGATTTTTCCGTAACCGTTAGGCATGCAACAATGCTTCAATATACTAAATTATTTTTTTTTGACTCTACAAAATGGTTTAGAAAGAAATTGCAAAATTTTATGTTTTCAGGGTGAAAAATTAGAAAACCCCATTTTTACCCCATAAAACCCCCCATAAACCCCTGTTCCCATAGTCCGATCATGCTGGTTCGCGAACTCGTTCGAATAAATATAGGTTTACACGTTTATACCAAATTTCATCAAAATCGGATGATTTTTGCTCGAGTTACCGCGCTAACGGACACATATATATATATATATTGAATAAATATATCGTTCACTATTGAGGGCTACTATTATTATTAATAAATGAAATAAATAATTAAACATTTAGTACCCTTTTTTAAGTTATGAATTTATTGAATAAACTTACATGTTTCGGCTCTTAGGCCATGATCACAGTTATGAACAAATAGTAAATAAATAAAATGTAAATAATAAATAAGTAAATTATCATATGATTTTGGAGTTTTGTCTAGTATATAGGTTGGCTTAAGTGTTGTTTTCTTTTGATTTATTAATAAGATTTTTTCATATATTATGTTTTCTTTTTGAATTTGCATTGTATTAAGTATGTTTTCAGGATCTTTTTTATGGTTTCTATATATGTGGAATTCTTCTTTAATGAATAATTTGGCTTTGTTTGGTTCAATTATTATATTAATTCAATTATTGATAAATTATTTTCTATATTTTGATATTTATGATTAGTTTTTATTAGGTGTTCTGCGCAGTTTGATTTCATACTTGTTGAATTTTTAGATTTAAATGCCTGTATATGTTCTTGGAATCTACATTTGAAGCTTCTACTAGTTTGGCCAATATAATACTTGTTACAGTCTGTACAGGAAATTTTGTAAATACCGCTTTTGTTAAATTTTGATGATTCTTCAGTTATTTGTTGATGTTTGGATACTTTTGAATTTATAATCTTAAAGACGTTGTTTTTTGTTCTATATGTTGCTTTGTAATTTGTTTTAGATAAGGTTTTCCTTATTGCTTTATTTAATTTAGAGTTATGAGGGAGACATATGTATTATTTTTTCAATTTCTCTTCTTTTTTCTTTTGTTTCTTAATTTTGTTTTTTATCATATTATCAATAAGATTGTCCTTATATCCATTTTCGGCTGCAATATATTTTATTATCTTCTTTTCTTTTTCAAAATTTGTTTTGTTTAGGGGCAATGACGAAAAACACTCATTTGATATTTTTAGAAAACAACCACTTCTAAATTAATAATACCTAAATCATCAAACCATCCTTGGCAGCAAAAAATGGCTGCATTTCACTCCATGATTTACAGACTAATAACATTGCCCCTAAACAAAACAAATTTTAAATGTTAAATGTTAAATGTTTAATTATTTATTTTATTTATTAATATATATATAGATATATATATATATATATATATATGAATTTGAACGGATGGTGTTTTTGGCCTCTGGGGACCTCAAAACGAAAAACTAAATCGGTCCCGGGTCCAGGTCTTACCATGAGACCTACGGTAATAGCTTATTCCCTATATGGGAAATTCACTAAAAGGAATAACTTTCTTCAGAAATTTTCAATTTTTAAAGTCACTGACACTAAAACTCATTCATGTTTTTCATCTTTAATGTCATACGGAATTCATGTGTGGGGAAATTCATGCCATGGTAAAAGGATGTTTAGGTTTCAAAAGAAGGCACTTAAAATTATAGCTTAAGTACCCTGAAGAAGTCCATGTCAAGCCATCTTTCAGGCTTTAAAATTTTTTAATGGTTTATAACCTGTATATTTTAGAAACAGTATTTTTGGGTATCAGCAACTTGTCTAGTTTCAGGGAGAGTCACACAAACCATATGGATAACACTAGACATAAGAAATTAATTAAGCCCACTAGCCATAACACGTATTTGAAGCATCAAGTCAATATACTGGAATTGGACCAACATTTTATAGCTTAAGTTCCTTCCTAGTAATTTAAAAAACATCGCCAATACCAAAATTTGTTATACCCTTTCCAAAAAGGTATAAAAAATTTTGGAAATTGTAGCTATCTTACAATTTAAGGAAGTAAATAAACATCTGATCAAAGTTTTATCGAATTATAAAATTTTGCTTTGTGGTAGATTTATTTATATTCTAAAAAAGTGTTACTGACTGTTGAAATGAGTAGGTAAGATTCTATAAGGCTACGGTTTGCTAGATGCATAATAGATACTTATGCCATAGAATAAATAAACACCAGAGAAGAGCAGCGGCGGCCTAAACTTCATGGGATATTTATTCGGGCGGCCCGAGTTCAGAGTGCGCTAGCGTAGTCTTCGCGTCAGTAATGCAGTTCTGCAATACACAGTACGTTGTTGACGTCTACAGCAATGATGCGCTCGGCTCGTAGACCGTAAGCGTGCGCTAATGTTTTGGTATAATAAAACTAACATTTGAAATAAACTATTACTTTATTACGCATTAAATTTTATAAATGTTATTATTTGACTTTATAAATGAAATTGTGATGAATGGATTGCAATAAAGAAACTATTGCGGTTGTTTTAAATGTGAATGAAAACTAACGACTTATAATATACGTGGAAGGATTAGTCTCTCATGTCCTATAGAGCTTTGCGAACTGAACAATGTGATGCTCGTCGATACAATCACAAAGGACACATCCCTTGCCCTGGATTGAGGATTACAAAGAAGAACTGGCAAGGGAGGGTCCGTCCTTTCGCAGAAGGACGATGTTTATGACATCTGTACCTGTGTAAAGCCGACAAGTGGCCCTGGCAGAATAAACGTTGGACTATAATTTTTTTGAAATACTGAACTAAATAAGGAAACTGACTATCCTAAACAATAAAAAAACTATAAACAATCTTGATAAACAATATGATTCTATTGTTTTGAAGTCTACTGTCAATGTCACTTAGACTGTAATTTTTTTCATTAGTATTATTACAAATATTGTTGAACTGAACAAATAATAATATTGATACAAATTGTATCATACTGAAGGTATCCGTATAAATGTTTGCAAACGAATGAATAGAAAACATTTTAACACCGTACGACAACAAGTTGAAATGTATTGCTTTAAGATTGACGATAAAAATAGATTAGTGCCGGTGGACATTAGTCACAAAGCCCTGTTACTGCGTCAAAGTTCCCACCAGAAACAGGGTACTTCTTTTATGGAGAAGTTCTCTTAGAGATAGGCACTATCGCTCTAAGAGACGAACAACCAATAACGAATATTTAAACAGAAAGCTATATTTACGTTATTATATTCCCTCAAATATAACAAAAAAACCCCTATTTTTAATATGCGTATATATAATAATACCTATTCACATTCTTGACTAAATCTAAATACATAAAATATTTACATTTAAAATGTACAAAGTCTAAACAAGAAAAATTAAAAAAATTAAAGAAACCTGCCGTCTCTGAAGCTTCTGTTGGAAGCTCTTTTATCATGATGGCGGTGTTCATTGCAGCTTTCACACTGCGGCTGAAAAATTGTGTGGCGAATTTCACCTTCATTTTGTCGAATGCGTTTGGTGAGATATGTTTTGCTGATAATTTTACAAGAGCTCGGGCTTTATTGGATGACACGTCAATTTCATAAAGGGATTTGATGTGTTTCCACGATGCTCTGTTGTCTTTAAAAATTATGTCATTACTAAGTAGGTTGTTCCTAACGCATTTGATTTGGTGAGGGGTGTCATAAACAACAAAGCCCTTGTTTCCATCATTGAAGAAAAAAGGTGAGTCTTTATTAACATTGAGACAGTTCATCGCTTTGACATTGTTGTTCCCTTGGTCACACACCACCACTCGCACACGAAGTCCCACACTTGTTAGTGATTTTACTACCTCCTTCACCATTACAGATAGGATCCTTCCCTCGGTCACACTACCACTCAAGTAGTAGGCAACTGGCATCTTCCATTTGTGGTAGATTCCACCATAGACAAAAAGAATTAAATATAGACTGTCAGCCGTGCTGCGGTTACCATGGTTACCATAGGTTCCGGCGCACACCGCTGTAGTTTACGTAGCGCGTACGCCGTAAATACATGGCGCTCCAAGCGGTGTGCGCCAGAAGCTATGGTAACCGCAGCCCAGCTGACGGTCTATATTTAATTCTTTTTGTCTATGATTCCACGAACCAAAAACATTAGCACGTATGTTGCTACTCGTGGTGAACGACCGTGGTTTCCCAAGTCCTTGAATCCTTCTACCAAATCACGTTTTTCGTTGAACGACAAGTGTTTTTTAACTGTCATCTCATCAAACATGAGAACCACTTGTCGCTCTTGGTCATTCATGGATTGTGACTTTAATTTTAATCTCGTGATAAGATCAGTGGAAATGCCAGGTG